GCTTTGCACGTATCATTGTATTCTGTATATATGTATGTATGCGAAGTGGGTTCGGAATCCTTTCAGCCATCCGTACATTTATATAAGACGAAAAAATATATACTTCGTTTACGATACTATGTTATCGGTAATGTAACTATGATTCGTCGATAACATGTAAAATTATATGGTCGGTTTAGCACCGACGCGTGTTTTGCTATCTGTTTTATACTTCGCTGGCCACATATTCTAGAGGGCGTCAAAAATTGCCGACTTTTTCGTGCGACACCAAGTCCCATAAGGCTGCCACTCTTTATAAGTATCTCCTCGGTGGCTTGCTTTAGCACGCGTAAAAGTTGTATATGTTTTACAGACAGGCGGCGCTACTTGTCGCTCCTAAAAAATAGTCGACTTGACTGTCGCCCTTCCATGGACGGAAATTCACCCCCCTTCACCTATAAAAGCAGTTTATACTCTGTCCTTCAGGCTTATGCTCGATCGCAAACATCCTATACACAGAAAGGTAGACGGAGCAGACACGGTTAGACAAGGACACAGGCGGGCCCATATGATTCTCTTTCTCTGTTCTTTCTACTATCACTTCTTGGGACTGCTAGCGCGATCTATTCTTATATATCTATGGCAGCTCGATGGCGCGGCCGTCTTTAGTAGAAGTCCGGAACCACGGTCGTATACCAGGGGTCTCGGAATTTATCCCGCACGGCTCGCTTCCCCTGTTTTTCGCCCGTATTTCGATCCCCACTACTATTTCCGGCCGTGGGATAAATTCCGAGACCCCTGTCGTATACACAAGGAAGCTTCGGTGGTGGGGGTACAGCTCTTAGGACCTCCGAGTCAAGCTTTACCAATTCGCCACAGTATGGTGCGCTGCAATCGAGTAGGATCCTGCTTGGCACAGGCGCAGTCACACCGAATCAATGTTACTAAGCAACAATATTTAAAAACTTCTTATAATTATTTCATTTATGTATTATGCATTTTCTCTTATATACAATGTGATTAGCTCTAAACAAATGTAAAAAGTGATTAACATAATTATAATTGTGAAGTTGTTATATTTTTCTTTATTAAATGCTTATAGATGGGTATTGTCCGTTTCGTACGCTTTGTAACTGTTTGTAAATGTAAAAGAATTTATATTTATACAATATATATCGATATAATCAATATTATATTCTTGCATGGTATGTTATATATGTAAGCAAGTTTTGAAAAATGTAAAAATCACTCTAGCCTGTCTCAATTATCGTTTTCCTATCATTACGCTTTACATTTTGAATATATTATTATTACCAAGTAACAGTTAATATCTTGCCATTACAATTGTTGATCTGTTTGCTGAGAATACATAGATAGCAAATGATCGACAAGTATTCTATAACGATAACGATTGATAATTAAGTTGTGGAATCTCGAATTCGAGAGGCTACATACATATAATACCTTTACAGATGCAATAATTTACAAAATATTTACCTAGACGAACGCGGAGAAATGTCTAGGAAAATATTGTCCTTTCGGTCTACCGTTCGCAACACAAACCCTACTTATCTATTTCAAATAGCTTAACCGCAACAAGACTTCCTGCTGTGCTTCCCACTTCGCAAAAATGAGTAACTTCTTGACTTAAACATCTCACAATCTAAGTAATAATCGATACCGTTTTAGAATACTTGTCGATCACATACTATCTACGTAGTCTCACGGAACAAATTGACAACTATAGTTGTGAGAATTCATATCTCTAATTTACAGTATGAAACTGTTTATGCATACGTTCCTTTGATAGATAGTTTTTTTCCAGTCGGACGAAAAATTCATCTGGTCGTGTTAAAAAAAATATATATCCCCTGGAATCTTTCCTATTGCCACATTGATCAATCGTTCCGTTCGAATGGAAAAACAGTAAATGTAGCGTTAATAAATAGGAGGAAGCACAATTTCTGCTGGCCACGCAGCGTTCGCATAATTGATAACCTTCCCAATGAAACCTATTTAAAACTTAATTACTTGAACGTAAGGACGATCGTAAATTCACCTTCGGATAGTTGTTAAATGGCTCATCGATTCGGGCATCGATCGCATGATCCTGTGCTCGATGCGAGAGCGCCTTGAGTTTTTGAGATTATTTCTCAAACAGAAACCTATTTAAAACTTAATTACTTGAACGTAAGGACGATCGTAAATTCACCTTCGGATAGTTGTTAAATGAGATTCATATAATTACACTAACCGATAAATAAAATTTTTTTTCATTTTTGCAATATTCATGAATATTATATGGTCCGATTTCCGATTTTT